ATTTATGTTAGGATCTATAAAACATGTTTTTCAAAGTCTACGATCTTAAAAACACACAAAATGCTGTGTTATAACATTTTAGTAAAACATTTCTTTAAAATCTGGAAAACACACATGAGCGATATGTAAGTAAAACATTTTTTTCATTTTTATTTTGGTAAAACAAATTCTCAAATTTTATTTTAGGATCTTCTAATTAACAAAAATAATTAGTTTTTTATAGTACTACACATGTATGATACGATGATTTTAGTAAAAAAAAACTCCGTATACAAGCGGTAATTTGTAATTGACCTACTTTTCTTTAATTAAATTACTAGGCTTTGAAGAGATCAGTTGCCAAGGTTATAGAAATTCTATAATTAACTTATGATAACATATGTTTTTTTTTTATTTATTCTAATTTTAAACAGTTTTAATTAGAATACTTTAGAACACTTTGTGTCTTTAAACTAGCACAGGGGTCTCCAAACTTTTCAGCCCGAGTGGCGCTCCCCCCCCCCCCGAAGAACGAACTTCTACCGCCACCCCCCACCCCTCCTTCCTTCCCCCCCCCCCCCCCCAACAACGAAATATAATTTATTGAAAATTTAGAAATTTATACACATTTCAAGTCCCCCCCCCCCTCCCACGAATAAAAAAGTCTGAAAGAAACACTGTCGGGGGCCAACAACACACTCGAGGTACAAGTTTGCACTCAAATTATTATTCTTGTATTTCATTATTGAAAATGTTAATTCACACAGGTATGTTATTCCAAAATTTGAAAGGTACTTTGATACAAAAGTTTTAGGAAAGTCTTCCTTAGTCAAAAACGTATAAAAAAAACCCACCCGCCCTTCTTCGAACTAGCCTCTAAGGAGGTCATTTGCTTGCAATTAAATGACCTGTAGCTGCAAGTAATTTACCTCTCAAAATTTATGTCCAGAAAATTTAAATGACTAGTTATGTCTGCAGCAGAGGCCAATTTCTATACCCACTCTTCATCAGACAATAATGGCTGTGGCTTGCCTTTTCTTTCCAGGAAGTCACCGATTTCCTTTCTTAACTTAGATACTCTGCTCAGGACTTTCTCGCAAATTAGCCATCTTACTGCTGTGAAATATGGTCAATTTTGCGATTCTGTGTTTGTATCTTTCAGCATGTCGCTGAACTATCTATGGTAACAGTGCCATACATTCTATATAGGGAAGCCAGCTCTTGTGTAATGTTCATGTCTTCATCCACACCGCTAATGAACACAAGAAATTGAGAGGTGGAACGGCTGTCCAGCGACTCATCCATTGCAATTGAAAAATGGCGAAACTTGCTTGCATTTTTCGCTATTTGAGTCACGATGTTTTCACCAATGTCTGCAACACGGCGAGCAATGGTATTTGCACCCAAAGCAACATTTTCAAATTGTTTTGAATTTTTTGGGCATAGTTTCTCAGCCACCTCTAACAAATATTTATTCAGTGAACTAAAAGATCGCCGCGGGCCGTATGAGAGGACCTCGCGGGCCGCATCCGGCCCGCGGGCCGTAGTTTGGAGACCCCTGAACTAGCATATTCATTTTTTTTAATTTGAAGATGTAAATATATTCTTAATTTATTTAAAAAAAAAAACAAGACTTAAAAGTAAGTTAGTTATGAACACAGACTGCCAATCATAAAATGCTATTTGGATGTTACACAAAACACATCACCCTCTAAATAAAAGAGAATGATTTCTCCCAGAGTCCCTCCAGCAGGTCCCTCTCCTCATCCTCCCCCTCCATCTACACCGAGTCCTCCTATGGCCAGATTTTTGCCGAACAGTACATCTATCGTAACGAGGAGGTTGCGGCCAAGAAAGTTTTACTCAAAGGGAAGCAATCGCTAGTCATCACTAAAGAGTTATCCAAAGACGTCAACCATGTATGTAGGCTATGTTTGTGTTTAGCCGTGTTTGTTATTTTTTTTTTTTTTACAATTTTTTTTAGCGTTTAACAACTATGTTTGTTTGTATGCTATTCGGTAGTGTTTTGTACTGTTTGTTTTTAAGACTTGGTTGTTTCGCTTTATCTGTAATGTACATGATTCTATACACAGTGTGTGTAAATATTGTGTGGTGATTAATTAAGTTACCACTCAAACACACTAAGTGCCACTTTCAGACCTACCGAACTTCGGGCAGATGCAGTAGAGTTCACTATGTCAAACTCCCTATACTTTTCCTTACAAAACTTAATGATAAAAAGATAATTAATTACTATTAAAAACTAAACAACCTACGCGTGAGCACACATTGTTGACACATCTAACCTTCACCCGCTGTGGGTGAGCAGGTGATCGAACTGACCAACAGCAACGTCTGCAAGTTCTACGGCATCTGTGTGGACATGGGCAGCGAGATGTACATCTGGGAGTACTGCCGGAAGGGCAGCTTGCAGGATGTGCTGCACAACGACAAGAAGTATCTAGAGGACATTCCGTTTAAAGTCTCCTTCATGAACGACATCTGTAAGGTGGGTTTGTGGCATCTGTAAGGTGGGTTTGTGGCATCTGTAAGGTGGGTTTGTTGATCTAAGAGTGGGTTTATGACATCTGTAAGGTGGGTTTGTTGCTGAGTTGGTTTGTGACATCTTTAAGGTGGGTTTGTTTTTCTCAAAGTGGGTTTATGACATATGTAAGGTGGGTTTGTTTTTCTCAAAGTGGGTTTATGACATATGTAAGGTGGGTTTGTTTTTCTCAAAGTGGGTTTATGACATATGTAAGGTGGGTTTGTTTTTCTCAAAGTGGGTTTATGACATATGTAAGATGGGTTTGTTTTTCTCAAAGTGGGTTTATGACATATGTAAGATGGGTTTGTTTTTCTCAAAGTGGGTTTATGACATATGTAAGATGGGTTTGTTTTTCTCAAAGTGGGTTTATGACATATGTAAGATGGGTTTGTTTTTCTCAAAGTGGGTTTATGACATATGTAAGATGGGTTTGTTTTTCTCAAAGTGGGTTTATGACATATGTAAGATGGGTTTGTTTTTCTCAAAGTGGGCTTATGGCATCTGTAAGGTGGGTTTGTTGTTGAGTGGGTTTGTAACATCTGTATAGTGGGTTTGTTGTTGTCAGGAAACCTGACACATGTAGAAAAAGTTTTTTCCCTGTATAAAACTTTCTAACGCGCTAATCTAAACTCTAACCTTATGGTAAGATTTATTGTTAGGAATATGTTAAGACTCATAATTTTCTTTTTACTCACAAGAGGAATAGCATACTTTTAGTAACTCAACAGAGTGATGTGGGGGGGGGGCGGAGGTAAAGTTTGTCCTACTCCAGTCTCAACGAACACAAAATTTATGTGGCGTACACAAGATCATAAATGAAAAAAAAATCCCATGCCGGGAATCGAACCCGGGCCGCCTGGGTGAAAACCAGGAATCCTAACCACTAGACCACATGGGATATACATCTATAAAGCTTATATCTTAACAATGAATGTCTTTTTCTACTAAATTTTCAACAATAGACCTTTGATAGTGCAAAGACTACTCCTCTACGTACCGGAGTGTTAAAAGTCTGCACTAAAACCACAACAGCAGTAAATCATTGTTTTTTTTTCTCTTCCGTGTTACCATGACGACGTTCTACCTATTTACATCCAGGGACTCCGGTACCTGCACCACTCCCACCTGGGCCGACACGGCAGGTTGAAGGCCTCCAACGTCCTAGTGGACAACAGGTGGACCTGTAAGTTGGCTCACATGATCATACCCAGCCTCACAGACGTTGACGTCATCGAAGGGGACTTTACCAATTATGAAGGTGGGAACTGTTACTTTGGTTTTCGCTATCGCAAGTTTATTATTGTTAGCTCAGAGTTTAGATCACGAATTTTAAGTTGGCGTGCCCAAGTTTTTCTGGGCGTGTTAAAGCAGTTACATAGTCGTGTCAGGGCACTTTTAGTATGTCAGGCAATTTTTTTAGACGTTTCAAGTAGCGTGTCATTTTTTTTTTAAATATGTCAGGAAACATAAAAAGGCGTATCAAATCACTTAAATGAGGATGTCACGAAACAAATGGGTGTGTAAGGACACCTACATGGGCGTACCAGTAAAAAAAAATGGGCGTGCCATACACCCACATGGGCGTACCAGTAAATAAATGGGCGTGTCAGTACACCTACATGGGCGTACCAGTAAATAAATGGACGGGTCAGGACACTAACTATATGTCTAATGACCTTATTCTCTCTTGTTCTATATTTTCGACACAAACTTTCAAATGTGTAGTTATTATTATTAAATGGTCTTGATTAGGTTTCCTGTCCGCTCCACCGGAAGTACTGAGGAACCCGGAAGTCGCCATCCCAGGTACCAAGGCTGGAGACATCTATTCTCTTGGAATCATCTTGCTGGAGATTTTCACAGGTGGAAACACGATATCATGGTTTTAGATAAACAGAGTTTGGCTAGACGATGGGTATAGTTTCATTAAAGGGGGTGGGGGGGGGGGGGTTACTGCCTCCTTCTTTCCCTCGAAGCAAATCTACCCCATCCCGTTTTAACCAAATTTATTTTATATAGAAAATATATTATTTTACCAGTGACAGCCCCCCCCCCCCCACTCCCACTTCCGGAGAATTTAGTCCGCCACCTTCGAATATTCTAAGTGCCACCCTCCCAAGTAAAAAATGTCTGAAAGAAATACAATGGCCGAACTTTCTGGTAGGGGTGGATCATTTTCTTTTTATAAACATTGAGATTGCTGCAAAATCGTATTTGCTGAATACGTAGCTTCCCGTGCTTATAGTCAGAAATAACTGAGTTGATTTAGCGCTGTGTTGTGTTAAAAATAAATACAATTGTTTTTTCTCCTGTGTGATCTTTCAGTGAGTGAAATACACGAAGCATTCAACGCGGCCTTCGCCCAAGAGCAGGCGTTGGAAAAGTACAAGACCAAGGTGAAGAAACGACACCTCCACCACCATCACCACCACCACCATCACCATCACTCCAGCCACTTGTCCGGTCACCACTCGAGCCACAGCTCCGGTCACCATTCGAGTCACCACTCCAACTACCAACAGTCCAGCATCTTCTTCAACAACCACCACAGCCACCACGGCGGCGGCAGTCACCGCAACAGCCAGTACGCCTCTATGGCGCTGTTCGCCAATACCAGTGATCTGATGGACAGCAAGCATAACGTGGACGAGACGCTAGACGCTAAAGGTCAAACAATACACTTTTTTTTCATTCTACTCCCCTTCTCTCCCACCCCCCCCCCCACCCTTTCTTTTTCTCTCTCTTTCCCCTTCCCCCCCCCCCCCACTTGTTCTCTGAAACGGTTATTACCAGTTTGAGTTGTTGCTCATAAGCCAGACGTTGCCCTTCCGCTGGATCCGTGTACCCTATTTACTTTAATATATACTTTTATCAGTGTCAGCTGCCCCCCCCCCCCACCCCCCCCCCCAAAAACAATATCAAGTGCCCCCCCCCCCCCCCCGAGAAAAAAGTCTGGAAGAAACACTCCCCCCCCCTCCCAGACTGTTTGCTCTCTCCCACAGAGTATCGCTCAACACGTGGTCTAGAGTTCGGGATCCGAACTTAGCTTTGGGTTAGCAGTGGCGCTGTTTATCGGAATAGACCAGCAGCCGCCCCCCCCCTCCCCCATACTAAACAACAGCTTTCCGAAGCTTCATGGCGAGTGCGTGAACTGTGAGGGGAACGCATCAAAGACATGCAGCCGGTGTCACTACATCAGGGGCGCTGACCTTTGTTACATTTATTTATTGAATGTAGCAGCTAAAACTACCCGTCAAGTACTTAACCCTTTCAAATACAAGGGACAGATCGGGCTCACACTGCCTCTAGTGCGTCGGGGGCTGCCAATGATGCAGTGTGACAGTTGAATCAAGTAGTAGCACTGACCAGGGGCGTAGCGAGGGGGGGGCGGGGGGTGCGGACCGCACCGGGTGACACCATTTAGGGGGGGGGGGGGGTGACACCAAGGCAAAAAATAGCAAAATATATAGAGAAAAACTTGAGGGGGTTGGAAATCGAAAGTTTGAGGGGGGTGCAAATCGAAAGTTTGAGGGGGGGGGGTGCAAATCGAAAACTTGAAAGTTTGTCCCCGGGAAGGGTCGCAACGCCTCTGGGGGGGTGACACCATTAAGTGCCGCACCGGGTGACACCCGACCTCGCTACGCCACTGGCACTGACGTATGTGCAACTCGCGCACCCAGTCAGTGGACCCTAGATGCTAAGATAAACCTAATGAAGCTTTCTAGTTGCTTTGGTATCCGATTTTTTTTTGCCTCAGACATGTAATTAACAGCGTCAGTTTGCCTTGCCGTGTTCGCTTTAGTATTACAGTTATCATCATCGGCTTGTGAGGACTGATACAGATTTACAATAGTAATATTTCTTTCTTACTTGTAGCCTGCTTTCATTAATTTAAGTTACATAGGTCTAATACAAAACGCCTAATTACAATTTAATTTTTTTAACCTGAAAAAGCAAACGTGTAATGAAATGGTGATTCAATGGATTTTTTTTTTAACGCCATGGTGGGTTGAGGGGTTAGGGCTTATATGTCGAGCTGAAATAAACTTGGGATTTAAGAAAAATAATATTATAAATATTATAAGCAGCCGGAAAGTTATGTTGAGTACAATAAGACACAACAAATGAAACATATTTCCCTTTCTAACATACATATTATCTATAGCAGTCCTCCCACAGTTTTTGTTTCTTATCTTTAAAAAAACAAACTATTTTAAACATTTAAAATAGTAATAACAATTTATTTTGTAGTTATATAGTTTCAAAAGCATGAACATAAATTGTATAGGGGTATATAGTAATTAAGTGGAGAAAGTAAACGGGCATAAGAACTTGACTAAAACAGGGGATGCAAATCTTGTTACTATTGTCTGCTTTGTTTACTGTAACCTATCTTAACATGCGAGGTTAAGGGTTGAAATTGTTGCTATCCATGGCCAGAAACTTAAGCGACCGTGGAGAAAGTGTAATTTGATTTTTATCTTTTTTATTTAAAAAGGTAATTTTTTTTTTAATACTTTTATTTGAAATTTAAAACAAGTACATCAACATCAAATTCTTTACATAATTTCGATCATCAAATGAAAACGGAAGGTTTTGCAAATGTACATAATGAATATTTACATGATGTAATGTATGTGGTTATACAAAATTGATGGGGATAACAGTAGAGGGGTGGAGGTGAAATGAGAGTGTCAGGAGTCCGGGTGGTGAGTGGAAAGGAAGTTGTTCGTGGGGGGGGGGGGGGGGGGTTGGGGAGAGTCAGTGGGACAGTGAAGAATTTACTATGTAGAGAAACAAACTATGTTGACCAGTTGAAAGAGTGTTTGTTTATATACTGGTTACGATGAGTTGTCAAAAAGTTGCTGTGTGAGAGATGAGGGGAAAGAAGAAAGATTTAGAACTTTAAACAAGTAAAAGAAATTTTTTTAAAATTTTTTTTTCTTTTTTTTTTCGCCTCAGCAGACACGTAATTTATAGCGTAATTTATAGCGTCAGTTGTGTGTTCGCTTTAGTATTACAGTTTTCATCATCGGCTTGTGAGGACTGATACAGATTTTCAATAGTAATATTTCTTTCTTACTTGTAGCCTGCTTTCATTCATTTAAGACTTAAGATGGTTTACTTATACATAGATCTAATACAAAACGTCTAAATATAAAGAAAAAAAAATTAAAAACCAACCTGAAACTGAAAATGCAAATGTGTAATTAAATGATGATTCAAGGGATTTTTTTTCTCTCGGTGTGCGTGGTGGGCTGAGGGGACGGGGGGGGGGGATTTCATAAAGTGTAAATAATAATTAAAACGATTTTTCATCTTATGCGTATTAAATTGTGAAGAAATGTCTTCAGAAGTCAAAAAAATAAGTATTAAAAACAACTTCAGTTTCATTATTTATATCACTGTCTAGTTATAATTATTTAATACAAGCGTATGAATAAATATACTCGCTTTTGATAAAATAATACAAATTAATTTTAGAATTTATAATTAATTAATGATTTGCCTTTTGATTATGTTACTGTCAATATTATTTGTATTTTAAAATACATTTCAGATCATACTTGTAGGTTGTTCCCCTTGGTTACATTAAATTTATGAATGGAAGTAGTTAACCGAAGTTATATTTAATTCAAAACTATTTAACTGTCTTCTAACACTATATATGCAATATATCTAAACTAGATAAATAATGATAATATTTCTAAAATATTTCTTTGCTTACTGAATATTACAAATATATAGGCCTATAGTATTATTTTGCTTACTGAATATTATAATTATATAGGCCTACAGATCATCATCATTACCCGTTCGTGCCCGAGACACAGATGAAGTAGAGTTCATCTGTTTCAGAGAACTCGGCATATGAAGGGATAGTGTGGTCAACATTATGCCCGGCCACCTTTGGTTCCCAAACGCAAGATAATTACCCATCAGAGCTGGGTGGACTCAAGGACGTTCCGGATTCGAACTCGAGACTCTCGGGTTAGCAGTCTCTACGACTAGGCCACGCCGTCCCTTAAGCCTACGGATAGTACAATTCTATTCACGTTTACATGCCCCTATCGCACTAGTACCCGCGGCATCACGACATTCGTCTACACATTTTTCGTCTGTCCGTTTGTCAGTTTGTTTTAACGTGGTCTACCAACCTTTGGTCTACATGCATTGTGTCTATCGACATTTGTTTATTAACATTGTGTGCACTGACATTTGTTTTACCACGATATTTGCTGAAAAGACATACGGGTATACTATAAATACATTATAACAAGCATATTACAACTAAAATTTAAAATGCAGTTATAAAGAAGAAAAAAACCAGACATTTTTTGTAAAAAAAAAAAAATAGTTTAACACATTTCTCTAAAGAATTCCTTCTAAAAGTAAATTCCCTGCCTCCTTACAGAAATCATTCATTTCTCTAAAGAATTCCTTCTAAAAGTAAACTCTCTGCCTACTTCCAGAAATCATTCAGCGGTTAAAACGGGGAGGTAACTCTCCGTTTCGACCTTTGATCCCTGATTACATCGACAAAAAAACGAAAAACGTCATCAAAGAGTGCTGGAAGGAGACACCGGAAGAGAGGCCGTCCATGGATCACGTGTCTTCCCTTGTCCGTAAAATCAGCCAACAATTTAGCGGGTAAGGTTGTCATTTGGATGATTATTGATTTTCCTATTGCTTTTTTTTTTATTTTTTTTTATTTCTGCGCAAAACTATCTTTAATTAAAGCGTGTTTTGTTTTATTTCGTATGGAAATGTAGAACAAAATAAAGAAGCGGATTGAAAGGTGAATAACACTTTACTCCGGTATGGGGTGGGGAGGACTGTCATGTTCAGTTTCTTTCATTCATCTCTTCGAGCCCCCCCCCCCCCCTCTGAAGCACGCCTACACCCCCCCCCCCTCTGAAGCACGCCTACACCCCCCCCCCACACCCCAACCCCACCAAACGAAATACAATTTTCGGAAAATTTAGTCCACTCACCACCCCGAAATTCAAGTGCTCCCACTCCCGTAAAACAAGTCTGAAAGAAACAATAGTCGTATTAAGCGCTTATGGGGGCGATACAATCAAGTGTCGTCATTAAATAATATGAATTCTCCATTGAAAAGAATATTGTAAAGCAGATGTCTAGAATACGTGTGAATGAAAAGTTTGAAAACAATTAGAAAAAAAAAATCTCATGCTTTGCTCGTGATGTTGGTGCATTGGCTTGCTATAACAACACAGGTCGTTTAGTTTACGTTCGCTCTGTTGTTTCTAGATCACAAGTGATTTGTAGGCACTCACACTCACAGTGTACAGATAACAATATTGTAGGAACTCACACAGTTTACAAATAACACCATTGTAGGAACTCTACTATAACATTCACACAGTTTACAGATAACACCAATGTAGGAACTCTACTATAACATTCACACAGTTTACAGATAAAAACATTGTAGGAACTCTACTATAACATTCACACAGTTTACAAATAACAACATTGTAGGAACTCTACTATAACATTCACACAGTTTACAAATAACAACATTGTAGGAACTCTACTATAACATTCACACAGTTTACAAATAACAACATTGTAGGAACTCTACTATAACATTCACACAGTTTACAAATAACAACATTGTAGGAACTCTACTATAACATTCACACAGTTTACATATAACAACATTGAAGGAACTCAACTATAACATTCACACAGTTTACAGATAAAAACATTGTAGGAACTCTACTATAACATTCACACAGTTTACAAATAACAACATTGTAGTAACTCTACTATAACATTCACACAGTTTACAGATAAAAACATTGTAGGAACTCTACTATAACATTCACACAGTTTACATATAACAACATTGAAGGAACTCAACTATAACATTCACACAGTTTACAGATAAAAACATTGTAGGAACTCTACTATAACATTCACACAGTTTACAAATAACAACATTGTAGTAACTCTACTATAACATTCACACAGTTTACAGATAAAAACATTGTAGGAACTCTACTATAACATTCACACAGTTTACATATAACAACATTGAAGGAACTCAACTATAACATTCACACAGTTTACAGATAAAAACATTGTAGGAACTCTACTATAACATTCACACAGTTTACAAATAACAACATTGTAGTAACTCTACTATAACATTCACACAGTTTACAGATAAAAACATTGTAGGAACTCTACTATAACATTCACACAGTTTACATATAACAACATTGAAGGAACTCAACTATAACATTCACACAGTTTACAGATAAAAACATTGTAGGAACTCAACTATAACATTCACACAGTTTACAGATAAAAACATTGTAGGAACTCTACTATAACATTCCATTTTTTTTGCTTGACTGACGGGTTTTTTAGTGCTCCGACAAAGGCCTACATATTATTATACACAATATATCTCATGTGTACTACTACCACAATGCCCTGCCCTGCCTCTACCATGATGCCCTATCATGTCACTACCATGTTACCCTGCCACTACCATGATGCCCTGTCCTGCCACTACCATGATGCCCTGTCCTGCCACTACCATGATGCCCTATCCTGCCACTACCATGATGCCCTGTCCTGCCACTACCATGATGCCCTGCCACTACCATGATGCACTGCCACTACCATGAATCCCTGTCCTGCCACTACCATGATGCCCTGTCGTGCCACTACCACGATGCCCTTTCCTGCCACTACCATGATGCCCTGTTCTGCCACTACCATGATGCCCTGCCACTACCATGATGCCCTGCCACTACCATGATTCCCTGTCCTGCCACTACCATGATGCCCTGCCACTACCATGATTCCCTGTCCTGCCACTACCATGATGCCCTGTCCTGCCACTACCACGATGTCCTGTCCTGCCACTACCATGATGCCCTATCCTGCCATTACCATAATGCCCTGTTCCTACCATCATGCCCTGTCCTGCCAGTACCACAATGCCCTGTCCTGCCACTACCACAATGCCCTATCCTGCCACTACCATGATGCCCTGTCCTGCCACTACCACAATGCCCTATCCTGCCACTACCATGATGCCCTGTCCTGCCATGATGCCCTGTCCTGCCACTACCACGATGCCCTATCCTGCCACTACTATGATGCCCTGTCCTGCCCTACCTTGCCACTACCATGTTACCCTGCCACTACCATGATGCCCTGCCACTACCATGATGCCCTGCCCCCCCCCCCCTTGTTCCAGGAAGAACAAGAGCCTGATGGAGCAGATGCTGGACAAAGTGACCAGAGAAGCGGACATGCAGGCCCAGGAACTACAGGAAGAGAAGAACAAGTCAGACCTTCTGCTGTACCAGATGTTGCCGCCGTAAGTCACTTGGTGAAGTCATGTTGCCGCCGTAAGTCACTTGGTGCAGTCATGTTGCTGCCGTAAGTCATTTGGTGAAGTCATGTTGCCATCTTAAGTCACTTGGTGCAGTCATGTTGCCGCCTTAAGTCACTTGGTGCAGTCATGTTGCCATCTTAAATCACTTGGTGAAGTCATGTTGCCATCTTAAGTCACTTGGTGCAGTCATGTTGCCGCCGTAAGTCACTTGGTGCAGTCATGTTGCCGCCGTTAGTCACTCGGTGCAGTCATGTTTCAACCTTATGGCCGAAATCCCTGAGTACACTCAGTTAGAGTCCCCCACCGTATACATCCGCTGTAATAGGCAATTACAAAGAATATTTTCGCTCAGTTTTTATCGTAACAAGTAGTTGTTGCAACATCTAATCTAGGTTAGTTTCAAACGATTGTTTTTTAATAAACATATTTTAAACAAATATTAAGCAAAAGAACTAGTCCAGAATGCAAACCAATAACTTTTGCTGTGAAAAACACACAAAGTTTAAAAAAAATTTCCCATGCCGGGAATCGAACCCGGGCCGCCTGGGTGAAAGCCAGGAATCCTAACCACTAGACCACATGGGACTTACAGTTGAGAGATGGTAATAGCTCAAAATCTACTGAGTAAAAACAGAAATCATATAGCTAGCTTATCTCTAACGTTATCTAAATATGTTATTATGTAATATATAATTACAACCCGATCACTTCCAGTACAGTGGCTGATTGCCTTAAGAGACAGATCGAGGTCAAGCCGGAGACCTTTGAGTCTGCGACCGTCTACTTCAGTGACATCCAGGGCTTCACAGAACTCTCAAGTGTCAGTGACCCCATAGAGGTGAGCACGTGCAGCCTTAGCTCCTACAGCTTAAACCAGCAGCTAAATCTCCGGCTGCATTACTTCCTTCAGTCTTAGCTCCTACAACTTTAACCATCAACCTTAGCTCCTGCAGCTTAAACCAGCAGCTAAAGCTCCGGCTGCATTAGCTCCTTTAGTCTTAGCTCGTACAACTTAAACCAGCAACCTTAGCTCCTGCAGCTTAAACCGGCTGCATTAGCTCCTTTAGTCTTAGCTCGTACAACTTTAACCAGCAACCTTAGCTCCTGCAGCTCTAGCTCTTACACATTAAACCAGCAACTTAAGCTCCTGCTACCTTAGCTCCTGATACCTTAGCTCCTACTATACTACCTCTCACAACTTAAACCAGCAACTTAAGCTCCGGCTACCTTAGCTCCTGATACCTTAGCTCCTACTCTCCTACCTCTCACAACTTAAACCAGGAACTTAAGCTCCTGTAACTTTAGCTGGTACAACTTGCAATCTTCTTCTCAAGTTATTGCAATCTTAGCTCTTACATTTTTAATCTGGAACTTAAGGTCTTGCGATCTTAGCTCTTTCGACTGTAATCTGTCACTTAAGCCCCAACAATGTAGGGCTTTACAACTTTAACCGTTCACCTAAGCTCTTCCAACTGTAATAAACATCTAAGCTCTTACAGCGCCTTACAATTTATCAGTGTTTCTTCCAGACTTTTTTCTCCGGGGGGGGGGGGGGGGGTGGGGGGAGGCAATTAAAATTTTCTGACACTGTTAAAAAATATATTTTCTATATGAATTCCATTTCGTTCGGGGGAGGGGGCGGTAGACTTTCTAATAAGAGATGCCTGGAAGAAACTCGGCAACTTATCTATACTTTAGCTCTTTTAACCTAGTTACTATACGATTTTCTGTGATTTTTTTTTCTCTTGTACTGTATTGTGCCTGCCAATTCAAAAATGAAAACATCTTTTTCCAACAATTAAAGAAAAATCAACTTCAAATTAGTAAGCCCCTATATCCCACTTGTTTCTCTTTCAGATCGTTAACTTTTTAAATGACGTTTATTACAAGTTTGACAACATTTTGGATAAATATAATGTATACAAGGTACGATTTATCTTTTTAAACTTAGATTGTTTGGCTGATGCTTTTATTTATACAGTGAAATAGGAGCAGCTAGCTTAAAAATAAATATGGA